TGTGGGGACTTGCTTAATAGGGGGAATGTAGTAACCACAATGTTGCTCATGGGATTGTATATTGATACCAAAATAAAAATAAAACATACTAAACCTAAAAGGAAGAAAGACAATAAAGAGAACAGATGGGACAAATAGAACACAACTAGCAAGATGGTATTTTATACTTAAATATATCCAAAATTACATTCCATGCAAAATGTCTAAACATCAAAATTAAAAGACAGAGATTTTCTAATTAGATTAAAAATGCAAGACTCAACTATAAGCTATCTACCAGAAATCCTTGTTATGGGATTAGTATAAAATAATCCCTATTTATATTATGAAATATAAAAACATAGGTTAAAAGTAAACAGATAGGAAAATATAGCATACAAACACTAATCAAATAAAGTTGAAATGACTATGTTATTATAAAAAAATGTATATTTCAGAGAAAGACATAACACCAGAGGTAAAGGTGGATATTACGTGATGATAAACTGGTTGGTTCTCCAAGAAAACTTAACAATCCTAAATGTGTAAGCACCTAACAACAAAGTGTCAAAACACATAAAACAAAAAACAGACAGAACTGAAGGAAGACACAGACAAATCCACATTTGTCATTCAACTTTAGCTTCTCAGTAATCAATCAAATGAGAAGATAGATCAGGAAGGACAATACTATCAACCACCTTGACCTAGTTGATAGAGAACACTCCACCCAACAATAACAAAATACGCGTTCTTTTCAAGTGCACACAGAATATACTGAAAATACTATTCCACTTTATAAAATATGCCTCAACAAATTTAAAGGAATTGAAATTAGACAATATATTCTCTGACCCCTATGAAATTAAATTAGACATTTCTAAGAAGAGAATAACTGCAAACTCCCCACATGTTAGAAAATTAACCAATACACTTCTAAACAATCTATGGTTCAAAGAAGAAGGCAAAGAGAAATTAGAAAATGTTTTGAATTGAATACAAGTGAGAAGACAGTATGTCAATAGATGGGGCACAGCTAAAGCAGTGTCGAGACAGTTATATCTCAAAATGCATATATTCAAAAAGAAGAAAATTTGGGGTTCAGTTATCTGTTTTCACCTTAGACTAGAAAAGACGAGCAAAATAAACTCAAAATGAGCAAAAGCAAGAAAGTAATTTAAAATACCAGCAAAAATCAAGAAATAGAAATAGAAAAACAATAGAGAAAACACAATGAAACCAAAAGCAGCTTCTTTGAGAGCAATAAAATTGATAAATCTCTAGCCCAATCAGGAATATTAAAAACTAAAAACAAAGATACAAAATACCAATATTAGGAATGAAAGAATTATTATAGCTCTTACAGTCATGAGAAAGATCACAAGGGAATGATATCAACTTTAAACCAACAAACTTGGTAACTTAGATGAAATAGTCAACGTCATTCAAGAATATACAACCTAAATAGTCCCGTATCTATCCAAGAAATTGAATGTGCACTTAAAAACCTTACAACAAAGAAAACTCCAAGACCAAATAGCTTCACTGGCAAATTCTATTAAACATTTAAGGAAAGAATACTGTCGATTCTACCTGAACTCTTCCAAAAGATAAAAGGAGTAGCCTTCCCAATTAATTTTATCAGGATCAGCTTCCTGTGCTCACACCCCAAGCCTCCGACATCAAGCACCCAGCCCACCAGCCTTGAGGCAGGAACCCGCAGCAAGAGGAAGCAGAGCAGCCCTGAAAGGGGGCAGGTCGCTGCCTGTGGCCAGGTGCACCCGGGCAGGGAGCGGGGGTGGGGGAGGGGGGTGAGGAAACCAGCCACTCCCTGCCCCCAGGACCTCCCACCTTCAGGTGAGCCACTGTGAGGAGGGATCGCTGGGGAGGGCGTCAGCCCCATAGCCTCGGTGACACAGACCAGATGGCCAGAAAACATACAAATAGAAAGACAGGCAGAGGGCACTGCATGGGGAAAGCATGATTTATTTGGCTCCCATGGGGTACGGTTTCCATGGGGACAGAGTGGGACCCTCAGGACCAGGGCTTCCCTGAGGGGATGTGCAGGTCACGGAGGCATCCAGATCATCCTGCTATGTTCTCCCCAAAAAGCTCAGAGGGTTTGTTGAGCATGTTTTCATTGGCCACTTGCAGAACCCGGGGGCCCACCAAGGATTCTAGAGGGCAGCAGGTGTGGCCCTTGTGCACTGGGAGCAACTGGGTAGATGCGTGGTCAGCAGCAGGAAGGGGTGCTACAGGAGACGGGTCTGAAGGGCAGGGTGGGGCAGGAGGGCTGGCAGCACCCGGAGGACTGGCAGGAGGGGGCCATGCACACGGCAGGCTTACAGCTTACAGGCACACACACAGTGGGCCTGCAGCACACAGGCATGCACACAGTGGGCCGGCAGCTCACAGGCACACAGCAAGACGCCTGGCAGGGCCTAGGCACGCAGCAGGCAGCCTGGCAGCCGAAGTAGCAGCTGGTGTTGCACATGCTGGAGGGAGGCTGGGCTGGCGTCAGGGTAGAGAACAGTGAGGCCTGCAGGCTCCTCCCCTGGGCAGCCTTTATATCTGGGCACAGCTGCTCTCTTCCTCATTTTTGCATCTTCCGGCTGTCTCCCAGAACTTAATTTTCTGTTGTAGATATTGTGTTTGTTTGTTTGGCCTGTGCCTTCACAATGCACTGCCCTTTCTTCAAGCTCATTACACTTGGAAACTTGCCCACGTGCCCTACTGACTCCATCTGGATTTTGCCTCGTTCCTTAAAATTTCACTCAAGTTACTTTTGTATGAATCCAAACACTTGATCCCCAGATTCCCCTCTGTGTGTGGTGATGGTCCTTGAGCAGCCACGAACGGGCGCCCTCCTCCCCAATATCAGGCAGGCTGCACGGCAAATGTGAGGAGAGGGAGCAGCCTGGCCCACCCATGGGCGTCCCGGGAGCTGGGAGCCAGTGCTGAACAGTAGCAGATACCCAGGAAGGACACCGAGACGGCTCACCCACAGGGTGCGTGCAGACCAGGGGGTGCGAGTCCCACGGCACTGCTGGCGGGTGCTGACCTTGGATTATTGTCCAGAGAACACCTCACAGTTAGAGAATCAAGAGGCCTTCAGCCTCCTACCTGGAAGGGCATCTCTATAATAAACAGGGCAGGACCAGAGCTGACCCCAGGGAAGTGTGTGGGCCCTGTGGGAACCAGGCACGCCAGACCCGTCCGGCAGAGCACAGTGCGCACCTGCGGGTGTGGCACAGGGTCAGCTGGGACCTGGACAAGGGGCTGCCCACAGCAGTGGGTCTCCTCTCTGCCCTGGGGCTCTTGCCTGACTTCTACAGGCCCCCCTAAACGCCGACATGCTGCAGTGCCCGCCCTGCCCTCTGCCCTCCCTCGGCTCTTGGCTATAAAATCTGCATTGTACATCTAGATAACCTCTGTGCCATTTTATAAAAGAATTCAAGGTCTCTTTCGTTCCGTGTCCACCTCTACCCTCGGAGAAAGCTCTGAGAATTTAATGTAGAAGATACTGTTTCTGAGAAAATGCCTGCAATGGAGGCTGCTGAGGTGAAAGGCACAGGCGTGGATTTATAAGTTTTGTAAAGCAGGGTCCCTAAGGACTAACACACAGCTCAGTGTGGCCTAGGTGCCTGAACAGGTGTGCCCACCTCGGGGCCAAACACTCCTGTGCAGGACCTGCTTCTTAGGGACACACTCCGCATCCTGACCTCCCTCCAAGAGGAGAAACACTCACTGGCCCCACCTGCCCGAGAGCTGCCTGTCCACCGGCTCCACACTGAGGCGAAGGGGAGCAGAACTCGCACACCTCCTCAAACCAGAGCCTCGGCTGCATGGGCCAGGAATCTTCCAGAACAGACAACAGGCAAGCATGGAGTACATAATCATGCTGGGAAAACTTCATGGAGTGGCTGGTACCACACAAGCCCTCCCATCAACTGTGCAACCGAAAGAAATCGATGGCACTCCGAGCAGGGCAAGGCCGAAGAGCAGCACAGCTGGGCCGCTGGGAGGAAGGAAGCGCGCACGTTGCGCTCCGCCTCTGCCCAGCACCCCCCAACCGGTCGGCTTCCGAAGCGCAGCACCGTGAGCTGGTTTGGGCAGGCACCACAGCCCCGCTCCACCGGGGAGGAAGAGACCAGAGGTGGGGAGGGGGAAGCACGGGGAATCTGCGGACTGGGGCGTCGGGAAGGAGGGACCCACGCCTGAGTCCGCGCTGGCACCCAGTAAATCCGCGGAGAAGGGCGGGCTGTGCATGTTCAGGGCGAGACCTCAGAGGCCTTGGCCTGAGCAGCTGCCATAGGATTGAGAGCTGACACCCCACACAGTCACACCTAGAGGGGAGATTATGCCCCAGAGTAAGACCTACTGCAGATCGCTAACAAGGCCTGGCCAACCCTCACAAAATTTCAAGGGAAGACAGTTTGGAGGTTGGGTCCCCCCAAAACATAGAGCTTAGGAAGCACTTTGGACTTTCCACAGACCCACCCTAACAAAGTGTGAAACCAAGCTTGCACAAGTTCAACGTGATCAGTTAGTGACTCCCTAGCAGAACAAAAAATCAATAGTCAGTGAAAGATAATGGAATGTAGGCTCCCTACAGGTATTATCATAATTTCTAACATATAATAAAAAAAATCACTAGACATAAAAGATATAGAAAATGTAAATTCACAGTTAAAGAAAAAAATCGATCAATAATAATAAAATCTAAGATGGCCCATATGTTGTTTGGCAACCAATGCCTTTAGAGCAGCTGTTTAAATATGTTAAAAGAATCAAAAGAAGGTATGTTCTGGTAATTAAAGGAAAATATTATTTTCATGAATGAATAGATAGGGAATCTTAGCAGAGAAATGGAAGCTATTAAAAAATGGGAATTCTGGAACTGAAATGCACAATAAATGTGCATTTAAATGTCCACTGGGTGGGCCTCACAATGGATTGAAGGGAAAAGAGGAGACTGAGCAAAGGTAAATCATGCAAGCATAGAAACTATCCAGTCTGAAGAAGGAAAAAGAATTTTAAAAAATGAAATGAGTCTTTGAGACAATATCAAATAATCCGACATATATTAGTTCAACCTCAGAAGGAGAAGAGAATTATATTAAAGCATAAAAATGTTTTAAAGAAATAATGGACAATTTTCCCAAACCTGATTTAAAAAACAAAAAAATCACCAACTTACAGATCAAAGATTCTTAGAAAAATCCAAGTAAGATAAATACAAAGAAAACCGTATCTGGATGCATAATAGTTGAAGTGATAAAAACCAAAGAGAAAAATCTTCAAAGCAATGAGAGAAGGAAACCCTTCACATACAAGAAAAATAAATAGTAACAGCTGAGTTCTCATCAGGTTCAGTGGGGGCCAGAAGACAGGGTGGTCTGACTCCCTGCAGAGCATCAGGCCAGTCCCTCTGCCAACATCAGTACTCACAGGGGACTGACACAGGCACAGAGGGCCTCATGGCCCCGAGAGAGGGCCACCCTTGCAAAGTGACACCCACCACGGAATAATGTGCTGTGCTGATGCGTGAAGAGAACAGAGCACAGGGGGTGTCGGAAGGAACACTGAAGCCACACTCCTGACCATGGCTTCCCGCCCTGTCGACAGGCACCATGGACTCTCAGGCACGTCTGCAGGGCCACGCTGCCTGGACCCCTGGGCTGGGAGAGGAACCTGGAATGGGCAGCTTGCCCCTGTCTGCGCATGGTCCTCTTGGGCTCCACGTGGCCGCCTAGTGCTGCCTGATCCAGGAGAGAGGTTCCAGGCTGCGAGGGTGCAGCCCGCAGGGGTCACACACCTAAGCCATGTTCTCCAGGGCCCAACATGACAGATATTTTCATCTGTCTGCCCCTCTCTGGTCTGTTTCAACTGATCTGGGACTTCAGGATACTCCAGCATTGAACTAAATACTATCAAACTGGATTCAGCAGCATATTAAAAGGATTATATACCATGACCAAATGTATGGCTCAATCTTTTTTTTATCAACTAATGTAACATAACACATTAACGGAATCAAGGGGGGGAAAGAACACATGATCTTGATGTGAAGAAAAAGCTTTTGGCAAAATCCAACACCATTTCATCATTTTAAAAAAACACTCAAAAAAACTAGGAATAAAAGGGAAATACCTCAGTCTGATAAGAAGGCATTTAGGAAAAACCCATGCTAACATCACACTCAATGATGAGAGACTGACAGCTTTCTTTCCTCCAAAGATCAAGAATGAAACAGGATTAACTGGTTCACCATTGCTTTTCAACTTTGTACTAAAAGTTCTAGCCAGAGCTATTAGACAAGAGAAATATAAGGCATCAAAATTGGAAAGAAGAAAGTAAAATTATCTCTATTCACAGATGACATGATCTATATATAGGTAGTAAAAAAAACATATCCACAAGAAGGTACTAGAGAATTCAGCAGAGTGTACACGATCACACAAAGGTCAGATGTATTCCTCTACACCAGCAAAGAACAATCCAAAAAGGAAATTAGGAAAACAATTCCACTTACAATCACATCCAAAAGAATAAAATGCCTAGCAATAAATTTAACCAATGGGGTGAAAGACATGTATACTGATAACTGTAGAACATTGTTGAAAATTAAAACGACCAAAATAAATGAAAAGACATCCTATGCTCACAGGTAGGAAAACTTAATACTGTTAATATGACAATACTACCCAAAGCAATCTACAAATTCAATGTAATCTTTATCAAAATTACAAAGCCTTTTTTCCAGAAATGAGAAACTGGACTTCAAATTCATATGGAATTGACAGAGCCTAGAATAGCTAAAATAATCTTGAAAACAAAACAAAACAAAACTGGAGGATTCTCACTTCCTGATTTCAAAAAATACTATAAAACTACAGTAATTGAAACAGTGTGGTACTGGCAGAAGGACAGACTTACAGCCTAATGGAATAGAATTGAGGCTTATTCCAGAAATAAACTCAAATATTGATGGCCAATTGATTTTTGACTAGGGTTTCAAGATCACTCAAGAGGGTTGGGGGAATCATGTTTTCAACAAATAGTACTGGGAAAACTTGGTTTCCATGTGTAAAAGAATTAGTGGGACCCCCTCCTTACCTCACCCCCAGTACAAAAATTAACTCAAAATGGATCAATAGCCTAAACGTAAGAGCTAAAACAAAAAAGGTATTAGAAGAAAATATAAGAGGACCACTTCATGACTATGGATATGATAATGGACTCTTAAATATGACACCACAGCAACACAAGAAAAAAAAGATAAACTGGACCTCATCAAAAAACTTTAGGGAATCAAGGGGCATTATCAAGAAAGTGAAAAGACAATCTGCAAAATGGGCAAAAATATTTCCGAATCATATATCTACTAGAAGTTTGATATCAAGAATATATAAAGAACCCCCACAACTCAACAACAAAAAGACAAACAACCCAATTTAAAAATGGGAAAATAACTTGAATAGACATTTCTCCAGCAAAGTCATACAAATGCCCAATAAGCACACGAAACGGTGCTCAACATTATGAATCCTTAGGGAAATGAGCACCACTTCACACCTACTAGGATGGATAGGGCCTCCTTGTGGAAGGCCAGTTGCCCCCAGGGTCCAGGCTGAAGTCAGCCCATCACGTTATGCTGAATACAATCTGTCCTCAGGCTGCGGTTCTCCTCCGACTGCAGCCAGTGTACTGCATCCCACTCAGGAAGGCCCAGCTCCTCCTCCTACGCAGGGGCCTAGGCTGCACCCTCAGTCCCCAGGGATGCCCTCACCACACCCCAGAGGGGCCCCCAAACTACAGGGCCCCACCAGGCTGCCCCTGGACCTGGGCGGCTCCCAGGCACCGCTGCTCCCTCTGGGTCCCAAGAACGGCCACAGGCTTCCTGCCCGCACAGACACAGCATGTATAGCCTCCCACCACAGGCGGGATGGCGGGCACAAGGCCACAGGCTGCTGGGCCGCACTCCAGGAGCTCAGACTCCCTGTCCCCTGAGACACTCCCTCTCTTGTCCAAGCTCCTGTCCCTTTGGGTACCAGCTCCTGCAGCCTGAGAGAGTCAGCTCTCCAGCACCCAGGACTGCCAGGTGCCCCTGGCCGAAGGGCCACTCTTCAGACAGTCACCCACAGGCCCCTCGAGCTCCAGGCCAGTGCCCAGTTCCCCTCCAGGGCTCTTGGGGTCCAGGTAGGACCTCTCCACAGGGCTGGACCAGTGCAAGGCTCCGCACCGAGCCTGCAGGCCTCTTGCCTTTCATTCAGCATGCCTGCCTCCAGGGAAGAGCCTCCCGCCTCTAAGCAGTCCACCCTCTGCTCCCTCCCCAGGTCCCTTCCATAGAGCCCCGGCTGGGCCTCACTTAGATCAACCCCGCTCCACCCCGCTAAGGTTGGGCTCCTCTGCCCACCTGCCAGGGGACTTCTGGGCAAGTCCCCAGCTGTGCCTGTTTCCCTTTCTGTAGGGCGGGAGTAACAGCAGCATCCAGTTCACAAGGCAATTGTCAGGGCTCATGAGTGAACCCTTACAAAGCTGCGGGCATAGAAGGCCTGCTCTGTGGGTGTCTGCTAGTACACTAGAGACAGACCACTCCCGGGCCACCCCTGGGCCGGCAGGTTGGGAGGAAAATTACGGCTCAAAATAAAGAGAATACAGAAAAGAACAAAATATGCCTGTGACTGGGCTGAGCATGGACATAGAGGGGAAACGGTACTAAGAAGCCCCAGAACAGAAAGATGCTCAGTTGAGGGCTCAGGGGCTCCAACCCTCCAGGTTCTCACATTGGTCTTGCCCAGCTCCTGGCACCTCCCCTGCACCCCCAGCTTTATGCAGGAGTTTAATGAGCTCAGCTACCTGTTCTGGGTCCAGGAAGCACATCCCCAGGGACCTGCCCCAACAAGGAAGACGGGTGCTTCCAGGCCCTCAAGAGGGACACAACGCAGCCCTGAGGGGTGTATAAACCCAACCACCCTGGGCACCTCACTCACACACACTCACACACACACATACACCCTCCTCCAGCCCACCGCCCAGCATGGCCGCCTCCACCCTGTCTGTCTGCTCCAGTGACCCAAGCTACGGCTGCAGGGTCTGCCTGCCTGGGTCCTGGGGCTCCTGCACCGGCCCCTCCTGGCAGGGGTACGATTGCCCGGAGAGCTGCTGCAAGCCCCCTGCTGTGCCCCCAGCTGCTGCACCCCCAGCTGCTGTGCCCCGGCCCCCTGCCTGACCCTCGTCTGCACCCCCGCGAGCTGCGGGTGCAGTCCCTGCCAATCAGCCTGCACCAGCTCGTGCACACCCTCCTGCTGCCAACTATCTAGCTGCCAGCCCTCCTGCTGCACCTCCTCCCTGTGCCAGCAGGCCTGCTGCATGCCTGTCTGCTATAAGCCCATGTGCTGTGTGCCCGTTTGCTGTAAGCCCGTCTGCTGCATGCCCGTGTGCTGTGTGCCCGTCTGCTCTAGGGCTGCCCCCTGCCCAGCGACCCCGTGCTGCCAGCCCACCCCCTGCCCCTCATCCCGCTGCAGACCCTCCTCCTGCGTGTCCCTGCTCTGCCCGCCCCCTGTGCAGCCGTCCCACCTGCTGCTGACCTACTCATCACCAACCCCACCAGGCTGGCACTCTGGGCACCCCCGTGTCTCCTCACAGCCCAGCACAAGCTTTGATTTTGGAATTTAACTCCAGCACAAGCTCTGAAACACCTCTCTGCATGTGCACTGACCTTGGACCCCAACAACCAGGGCTTAGCAGTCTGCAGCCTCCTCAGAGGGCCCTGAGTCTACCCTCCCCTAGGATTGTGGGGGCCCCCAGGTTGTCTCTGATAGCCATGGCCCAGGCCTCCCCATGGCCTCACAGGGGCCTCTGCCCTGTCTCTGCCCCCAGAAAGTGTTGGCCTCCTTCCCCATATGCCAGCCTTGAGCTGAGTGAATAAACTTGCCGGCCTCACCTCTAGGGTCCTCTCTCCTGGCTTGCTTTTATGGCTCACCTGGATGATAAGCCCACCTTGGGAGCATCTGCAGTAGTGTGGAGTTCTGAGGCCACCTGGGGGCCCCCGACCCAGCTCCTGCATCTGTCCCTCCAAGCATCCCTGGGCAGCTGTGCTGCATGTCCATTCAGAGGGCTAGCAGCCCCTTGGCGAGAGGGCTCTGTTTACTCCAGGCCTTGATCTCCCTGGTCAGTCTGGGGACACTGAGGGTAGGGTCCAAGTTGTCCTCCAAGCCAGGAGGCAGGCTGGGCCACAGCATTCCTGGGGCACAGCTAGAGCGGAGCATCTCTGCGTCATCCAGCTTCCTGAGTCTCCCTCTGTCCCAGCCTGTTGGTCTACCTGCCCAGGCCCCGGATCCTTCCCACAGCCCCAGGTCCAGCCTGGCGTGGCAGAGGTCAAGGGGAAGAGGCCAGAGGGTTAGGCGACCTCAAGGGCCCCACTCTGTGTCAGAGCCCAGGCTTGCCACCCTTGGGGTATTCCCTCAGGCCAGTGTGAAACCCACACCTTCCTGGAGCCACCAGGGCCACTGCCTGCCTCTTGATCCTCCCCTGCTATTGACCTGCCGCCTCCCTCCCAGGAGACTGTGAAATGCAGTAAGGGTTCCAAAGACAGGCAGGTCAAGAGGGAATGGCCCCCCTGAGAGAAGGTCTGAGATTACCTGACGCTCAGGAGGTCCCCCCGAGAACCTGACTCAGACCCCCTGGGTGGAGCTGGCTTTTCCAGGGCTGCCCACACCCAAAAAAGGGGGATCTTAGGGAACCTGTCCACGGAAAGTAGTTTTTCCCTTTGACTGGAATGGGGTGGTGTAAATGGGAGCAGACAGTCCTTGCTCCCGCATCCTGGGGCCGAGGAGGCAGGTGGGAGTCTGGAGACCCTGCCCCTCCCTCCGGGAACCCTACTGTGGAAAAGAGGGTGCGGAGAGTGAGAGACAAACTCCACCCAGCTGCCAGAGCCAGGAGGGACTCTGCCCACCGCCCCTCCTCTGGACCCCACCTGCCCACCAGTAAACCAAGGGGCCCCAACCACCTGTGCGCCTTGACCCATCTGGCTGGCTGGCGAAACCCATAGGACCTTTCTCAGAAGCATGTATTCAACTGTGTAAAACAATACTCCAGATTTCAAGGGGAGACAATTGTGCAAAGACACAATTACCAAAATATTTTTCAAACAAATGCGTGGCGAGATGTGGGCTATTCATTGATGAAGAACCGCCGGTGGTCTCCTGCCAACAGAGAGGACTCTGAGGGGACACAGGGTGTGGCAGCTGCCTTGGTGACAGTCCGGAGTGTTGCCAGCAGCAGAAGTCACAGCCCCTGCCGGAATTTCATCGCCCAGCCCGCATGGGGCCCAGCTGCCTTGGGGAAGCGCACACCTGTGTTGGTGACAGGCCGCTTGCTGCTGACCTCCCTGTATCAGGGAACAGAACCAGGTTCAGGCCAGGCAGCTTTATGGGGAGACTTTTGCCAAGCGCACCCCTCCCCTGGGGCCCCAGACATGTTCAACACGCAGGGTGCAGCATCCCTCCCGTTAGGTCGTCCCCTGGCGATGAAATTCCTACGGGGCTGTGACCTTGGGTGGCAGTCATTGTCTTCAACCCGGCCACAGCTCCCCAGTGGGGGATGTAGACGTGCTGCACCCCACTGCTGGGCACACTTGGGACTGTCGCCAAGGCAGCGACCGCATCCCCCCGCACCTGGGTAGCCACGTGGAGCCTGGCAACAGGAGGGGCTGAGCAGGTGCCCCCGCAGCTTCGCAGCCTTCCCGTCCCACCGCAGTGTGCCAACCGGGCCTCAGTGGAAACCGGGGGGGCCACACGTGGTGAAGGAAACGAAGTCCTCACCTGGGTGGCCAGCCTTCGGGCTCACGCGTACACGCGCATGCAAGCACAGACGACCCCCTTACCTTCCCTGCTGATGCGCGGCGAGGGGGCGTGGACAGGGTTCCCGCGGCTGCCCCCGTGCCCACCGGCCCCAGGCTTCACCTGCCTGCACACCGGGAGCCCCATGGGAGGCGAGGTGGGCCTTTCTCCTTCTCTCCAGCCTCCCCGCTGGCTGGGTGCCCCTGAAGCTGCCCGAGATGCTCCTCAAATCAGACTCCCCACGGCGAAGCTGCGCAGGCCGGCGGCCGGAGCCCCGACCTGAGGCTGGGATGAGACGCCAGCCGTTCGCAGCTGGGGCCACCACCCCCGCGCCAGGCCCTGCGGGGACCAGGACGG